GGGTGGCGCTGGCGGCCATGGCCGCCACGACGGGACCGACGATTGAGTTTGAGGGCAATGTGGTCCTTTCAGACGACGTGTACCTCAGCGTTCTCCAACTAAGTCAGTTGGATCAGCTGACCCAAGCCACCGATTCGTCGACGGTGACGACCTCGACACGCACGGCGACCAGTACGCCGACGCCTGCAGCGAGGCCTCAGATCAGCATTGCCCAAGCGGTCCAGCAAGGACACCCCGAGTCGGCCGAGCTTCTGCAATACAGCCTGCTGAGTTTTCTTCGCGATTCCGGCTACGCGATCGCCCGGGTCACGGTCGACGCAAAAGTCGGTGGATTTGTGATTCGAATCGACGAGGGACGTCTCGATAAGATCCTTTTTCTGCGTGAAGGCACACTTGCCAATATTGAGCTGCGCTTTGCGATCGTCCTGCCCGGCGATGTGTTTAACCAACCACTTCTTGAACGGCAGCTTGCAAAACTGGTTCGAGAAACAAGTGTATTGCGCGCCGACTACGAGGTGGTCGCGGCGGCCGACGTTGAGCACCGCGGCGTGCAGATGGTGGAACCGACGATCATTCGTGGCCTCCGGCTGCTCGATGCGGCCGAAGACCACGAGCTGCATATTCGGCTCGAGCGCTCGAAAAAGAAGGCGGGTTGGGGATTGAAGCTCGGCTACACGGGCGCCGACGGGTTGTTCGGAGGTTTTAGCTACCGGGTCGGTGAAGCGCTCTTCGACAACGATCGCATCGAAACGGAGGCCACCGCCGGCATCTATATCGGCAACACGATCGACTCGGAGAAGAATCCATTTGGCATTAGTCGACTGAAAGGCCGCTTGCGTTGGTTGGCCCCGCCAATGTTTGCGAATGTGGTCCGTGCGTTTATTGAGGGCAAGTTCCAGCTCACCGGGCGGCGCCGGGCTGATCTTCAGCTCGAAAACTACTTCTACGCGCCGGTCGCCGGCACGCTGAACTTTGAAGTTACGTTAGGCCGCGGCGCCAACATGACGATCGGCGGCGGCGTCGAACACCGAAAGCTATTTGGTATCGATGAAGGTGAAGAAGAAGTCCCGATTCTTCGGAGCACGCCGGGCGATGACACACGGTTTTTGCTCGAACTGCAGGCAGAGTTTCAGTTCAATCCCAACGAGCTTCGCCTGGACCGCGCCCACAAACTCGTCTTGACCGGATCTTACCGCGGCCGGCTCGACTCGGCTTCGGGCTCTCCGATCACGAGAACCTCCTTGGCCTACGACGAAGTCTGGCCCAACGGCTGGGACGAGATGCGACTGAGCGTTTTCGGCGAGCACGTATGGGGCGATGTTCCGTTCTACGATGAGATGTCGATCGGCGATGGGTTCATCCGCGCCGGTTTTGCCACCCAGATCTTTGTGCAGCGTGCGGCCGCCATCGCGCTGGAGTACCGACTGTCGCTATCGCGCGACACCCTGAAGGTCAGCGTCTTTAATGATTTCGCGGTTTACGGCAAACGCAACGAGCTGCGCGAAAAGGAAGGCGTACGTATTGCCGACACGTTTGGCGGCGGCGTGCATGTTTTGTTGCTCGATGCCTTTCAGGTGAACGCGTATCTCGGCGTGGCGGTCGATCAAGACCTAGGCCTCGGCATAGGGTTCAAGGCGCAGCTCGCCCGCGCCTTTTAGACGGATTGCCACAAGACTAAGGCGGTCTTTCGGTTATGCTCGTCGAGCTATGACCACCGACGAGGTCAAACACATCATCGAAAACGGCATTCCCGGCGCCAAGGCTGAGGTCAAAGATCTCACGGGCACCGGCGACCATTTTCAAGCTGACGTCGTCTCAGCCGCTTTCGAGGGGCTGACGATGATCAAGCAACACAAGATGGTCTACGAGGCACTCGGCGACCTTATGAAGGGCCCGATTCACGCGCTCAAGCTGGCGACCCGGAAAGAGTAAGCGCCTCGATGAGTTCGCGCTCGCCGGGATAAAGCTGCAATAGAAGTTGCCGATCGGCCGCCTCAAAGTCGGCGTAGTCAAAACCGGGCGCCATGCTGGTACTGAGCAAGGCCCAGGCGCCATCTTCGCGCAGCTGCGCGCCTTGCCAGACTCCTGCGGGCACGAGGGACTGCTGAGACTGGCCGGATTCAGTGACCGGCCCTAGGCTTCGATGCTCGCAGCGACCGTCCTCATGCAAGAGAACCTGCTCGATGGGATCTCCTGCGTTAAAATAGAACATCTCGTCGAACCGAAGTCGGTGCAACCTGGATTTCGATTCCGGCGTAAGCAGATAGTAGATGATGGTGCCGGCACTGCGCGGGCCGTGTTCGGTCGGCACGATGACCGGCGAACGCCACGTCTCTCGGTAGAATCCGCCCTCGGGTCCATGCGGAACCAGAGCCAGGCGTTCGATCATCTCGGCGGCGGTGGGCACGTGCTTCCGTTTTTTCGCGAACTACACCACGAGTAAAGTCATCATGATGGCCACACCCCCCATGACTTCCATGGGTTTGGGGCGAATCGCGTAGGCGCCGGCAAACAGCCCGCCCAAAAGTAAGGAGCAGACGACCGACTGATTAACGAGGGCACCCCGGGCGCTGAGCATCGCGGCGATGTGGGCGGTGGCAAATGCGGAGGCGGTGACCAAGACCAACAGCCCCGTCGGTACCTGCAGCCCCTGGAGGGTGGGTGCCAACCAGGCAAAAGCGAAGAGTCCCAGGGCAGCGGCCAAAACGATGCTGGGAATGATCCCGCCCGTTGTGACCAGCTCTACGGGAACAACTTGCGAGAGGACAACGCCCAACACCGGCGGGACGGCGGCCGAGAGTTTGTGGAGCTTCGCAACCTTGCTTACCTTCTTGTAGTCGGCGCTTTCGAGCGCCGCGCCGACCTGCATGACCGCGAAGGCCACCGCGACGACAGCGAGGACAATCGGCGGCGCCCAGGCCCCGGGCATCAAAACGCCGGCGACAACTGAAGCTGCAAGACCGAGTGCACACCAAGTTGCCGCGCGGCTGATCTCAAGGGCTGTTCGGTCGGACTTGTCTCGCTTCGGGGGAGCCGACCGCGCCTTCCGTGCGCGCTGACTCAAACCGCCATACGCCGCGGCGGGCTCGGTGTCCGAAGGCACGGGCGCTCGGACTTCGGTCTTGTCGGGCGTCGATGGCGCGGCCGGAGGTTCTTGCCACAGCGCCTCTTCGACGAGCGCTTCCATGTCTTCGGGCATCTCGGCCCACTCACCGGCAAAGTCTTCTTTGACCGGGGACAGGGCTGAATCTGCAAGTTCAACGGCGGGCGGCACCGAGATGTCCACTTTCAAGGTGGTGTTGATCGGCGCGGTATCGTTGGCCGGGACCATAGGATTGTCGGTCTGCGCTTCGGCCCAGAGCGACTCATCGAAGTCGAGGTCCAAAGAAACAGTGTGATGGTTGCGAGCCACTTCCTATTTCTTAGTCGGCCGGGCGGGAGACCTTTGAAGTCTTAAGTAAACGCGCAACCCGCCGATCGAACTAAGCGGCATGAATGAAGATACGAAGCGTCGCCACGCCCGCTACCCCATCCGGCTGGCCACGACCATGATCCGAGGAGCACGCTCCCACCAGTTATTCTCGCGCGACGTGTCGCACGGCGGCCTGTTCCTCCATACGGACTTTCCGCCGCCATTGCGGGAACTTGTTCGCATTCGAATCGTCCTGCCGAACAACAAAGAGGAAACGCTCGAACTCCTCGGCATGGCGGTGCACCGAGTCGAACCGGGCGGGCCGCGCTCCGCTGGCGTCGGCGTCAACTTCTACGGCAATGGGCCGGAAGCAAAAACCGCGTGGGCGACGTTCATCAGTTACGTGGCTCAAACCGAGGCACCCCTGCCCGCTCCCACCGCGACCCGGGGTGATGCAACCGCCGGTCCGGGGACCAAAACCCCCGACATTCGTCCGGAGCTGCGCGTGAAGGTCCGGTCCGTCGAAGACCTGACCAAGATCCTCGAACGGGACCTCAAAAAGGGCCGCCTCTTTGTGCGGACGGAGTTGTGGTTAGACCGC